CTGCAATTAAAGACCAGAGAAAGAGAAAGTAAAACTTCCCTTTTTTTTTTTTTTTTTTTTTTTTTTTTTTAGAGCAGCAGGGATCTGTGCTTCCTGCCCAGCTGGCAGCAGGACACGGAGGTTGGGATGGGATGCTCCTGTGTCCTGTGTCCCTCCCTCCTGTCATCATCCCAGTGAGGAGATATTTCTACCCAGAAATCAAATATCCAAGTGGGATTTGATGGGGCTGCACTCGACACTTAATTGGTGTGAGTGGGAATATCCTCACTGGAAAGTGGGATTTGGGGAGGTAGGAGATATGGCTCCATTGCAGAGCTCCTGCTAACCCATCATCTCACATAACCACAAATGGAAAAATCCCCTTTTCCTCCATGGTGAGGAAAAAATTCTTCCATGTGAGGGTGGTGAGACTCTGGCACAGGTTGCCCAGAGAAGCTCTGACTGCCCCATCCCTGGAAGTGTTCAAGGCCAGATTGGAAAGGGCTTGGAGCAACCCAGGATAGTGGAAGGTGTCCCTGCTCATGGCAGGAATGAGGTGGTCTTTAAGGTCCCTTCCAACCCAAACCATTCCATGACTCTATGATTCTGTGATGGCTTTGTTTGGTTCCAGCCCAGTAGACCTTGCTCATGCCCTTAAGCTGCTTCTTTCCATCATCCCCTTTCTCCTACTGCTGCCTGTATTTTTTTCCATGTGTCCTGGGAGCACTGAGGGACTCCAGGCAGGCTCTGCTGCTGCAGTGTGGGCACGTGGGAGAGGAAAAGCAAACAGCAAGTGTGAAAGTTTTTTCCCATGCCTTGGCGTTTCCTGCCCTGGCGATGCTCCTTCTCCTGGGGAAACGACATATGTTGGATCCGCAGGGTGAGGGGACATGCTGTGACAGCATAAAAGCTCACATCTTTCTCCTCTTCCTCTGGCTGTGAAGATTTGGGACCTACACTGCCCTCCAGCCTGAGCAGGGAAGCAGGGATCATTCCAGATGATGCTGATGGGAGCTGGGAGCGCAGGGAGGAGGACTCAGTGCCGGAGCTGGGAGGAGGCAGCTCTGGGAGGAAACGCTCCAAAATTCATGACTATTCCCTCCCTTACCCACCCTGAGGCTGTGTAAGGCTGAGAAATTCCCTTCAGGCCCTTTTTTTTCCCCAGAGCCTCTTAGAGCATCACACCCAGCTCCTGCCTCCTAATCCTCGAAGAGCTCCGTGTGAATTAGTCACCTGTTTTGGAAAACCAAGTCTGGGGAGCATCCTGTGCCGAGCAGTGGCAGCTTCCGTGCCCACATCCCATCTTAATCTGATCCCCAGCTCCCAGGGGCTGAGGAATGCTGGAAAATTGGGAATCCTCTTACGTGGGGTAAGGGTGGTCCCATCTCAGGGAGCTTGTGGAGTGAGGAGGGATGGGATGCAGAGAGTCCTGTGAGGGTGATGAGCTGCTTCCCATCGCCTCTCCAGCCCCAAAATAAGGAGGTTCCCGAGACTCTGTGAGTGATGGGAAGGTGACAGCCAGCCTTCCTTTCTTCAGCCTCCAGCCACCAAATGCAACCCGAGCCGAGGTGACAGTGGCATTTGGGAGTGGTGGGATGCAAGCCCAGCCCAGGCAAGGAGACACCGTCCCGCAGTCCCGATGCCAAATGTGACCCTACCTTTTTTTTCCCTTTCTAAATGGTCTGTGCTCCAGGACAGAACGTCCTGTGACTCCTGAAGTATTTGTAACATTTCCACGCCCTCTCTTGCCAAAAAGACTTCTATAAAAAGCCACTGTTTGTTGATTTTTGGGGTTGTTGGTTGTTGTTTTTTTTTTTTTTTTCCGCAAAACTGAAACCCTTTGGTAGTCAGAGATGTGCAGCGTTCCCAGGGCTTGAGCCGCGTCCCCTGCATGGTTGCTTTCCAGGAGCAAAGCTGTCTGGA